AAAAACCTCTTCCATAATTCTAAGTTCTGGAAAGCTTGAAGTCAAGTGCTCCTTCAGCACCATGGACAGCTGCATAATATAGATAGTCCTTCGGTTATGACAGTGATTGAGACTCAAATTTGCATCGCTAAAGAGCAGTGCAGCCATAAAGCTGCTCTCACATGACCGTTTTGCCCAGCAATGTGAATTCCGGCTCTCCTGGTGGCCATCATCACCTCAGGACCATATAGGTTGTGAAGAAAGGACTTCACATGATCACAATGTGAGAGGAGGCAAGACTATCATCCATTCGTTCAAGGAATGGTTGTAAGTCAAGAACTATGTATAATCATTAGGAACCAACGTGGCGCAATGGATGGAGTACAGTACTTCGGCTGACTGCAATTCGGCAGTTCAAATCTAACCAGGCTCAAGGTTGACTCAGCCTTCCATCCTTCCGAGGTGGGTAAAATGAGGACCCCGATTGTTGGAGGGGCAATATGCTGACTCTGTAAACCGCCCAGAGAGGGCTGTAAAAGCACTATAAAGCGGTATATATGTAGGTCTAAGAACTGTTGCTAAGTGCTATTGCTAGAATAGATTTTACTCCATAAACCTTATAAATCCCCTTAAATTCCACAAGGTGGCAGCATAATATTGGTTACTCATAGGGAGCAGGAAGCCTTAATCACGCAGAGAACTTTTTAATATAATTCAATTGAAAAACAATTTGGGATGCTATTCCTTCACTTGGTGAAGCATGGCTGCGAGGATGGTACTCGCCAAACACCGGAAAGAAAAAGGGATGCCGAGAGTTGAGGAATGGATTTTGAAATCGATTGACTTAGCAGAGCTGGCGAAATTAATTGCTTGGATCGGAGATAACAGGCTAGACCGCTATTTAAGAACCTGGGAACGGTTTGTGGATTTTCTACATGCTACATATAAGAACAGGTGGTTAACAGAAGGATTTTGTTCTGACCCAGTTCCCCAAACATGAGAAACCCTCTGAAGGGAACTCAAAAGATTCCTTGATAAGGAGTGCCGGCAGCCCCGGGAAAAAGTTTCTCTCTCAACGCAGGCGAACAAGTCCATCTGGCAGGGAGATGAATAGTTGTCTGTCACATCTATTCATCTCCACCCCCTGCCTTTTATCCCCAGAGCTAAGGTGGGGCTTCGCTAGCAGCGGTGGCTCTTCCGTCCCAAGGACCAGCCCATAGATTTCCAATGCTCTCCTCTCCTCTGCCACATCTATTCATCTCCGCCCCCTGCCTTTTATCCCCAGAGCTAGGTAGCGCTTCATTAGCAGTGGTGGCTCTTCTGTCCCAAGGACCAGCCCATAGATTTCCACTGCTCTCCTCTGCCACATCTATTCATCCCCGCCCCCTGCCTTTTATCCCCAGAGCTAGAGTGGGGCTTCGCTAGCAGCGATGGCTCTTCCGTCCCAAGGACCAGCCCATAGATTTCCACTGCTCTCCTCTCCTCTGCCACATCTATTCATCTCCGCCC